ACAAAGGGGTTTTACCCGTTTTCGCACATGAGGCACCTCCGCTCCTCCGAGCCCCCTGCGTCGTGACAAGGGGCGGCTTGGCTCAGCCCCCCCCCCACCCACATCCCGGTCTGACTCCTCCCCCCCCCCCCGACCTGTATATAGACCCGGTCTCTGAGCTGTCCACTTGACACTGATGTTCTGCTGTGTCTGTTCCACCTGAAGAAGGAGACTTGTGTTGCCTCCGAAACGTCGTGATTTAATTGTTTTCTTTCATTTTGTTTTATTTTATTTTACCTACGTGACTTTACCGAATAAAACCAAAGAGTACGCTTCACGAGTGTTCGCTAACCGAGCAATATTCGTGGAACGTATCTCGCTCGTTAAGCGAGACACGCGTGTACGAGTCATCAGCAAGTCCGCTCAGTTCCACCATCATTCCACCTCTTCTCAAGCCCGTGCCACGCCTGTTTAGTCCCTGATATCCGGCCAAACATAAGCTGCTTGGGAATGCGGTAGCTGGGAATGCGGGCTACATGACCCACGTACACATATACTGTACATAAAACTAGCTTGTTTGCTCTTCCAAGGACGGGTGTATATTGCAGTAAATCTGAAATATTCAATAGAGAAATTGTTCAGCTCATGATTATTAATGAGGGGGGTTTGCCCCATGTGGAGTGACGTCACCCGCTAATGGTTATTGGGGAGGGGTGCAGCATGTGGAGTGACGTCTCATGGTTATTGGGGAGGGGTGCGTCATGTGGAGTGACATCACCCGCTCATGATTATTAACGAGGGGGGGCCTCATGTAGAGTGACGTCACGTGCGGGACACATTCTTGGCTTATTATATTAGTAACAATGAGCCGGCACGACTGACAGTCACGCATCAACGTTTTCCTTCCTGATAACCTTGTGCCCTTTAGACTGGTCTCGCAAATACCAATGTACTCAATGACTTCGTAATTATGATCATAAGTCATGGTCTGCCAACTTGATTAAAGACCCCACCAGCATCATTACATTATAAGGCATGGTTTATCCACTGCTAGATGAAATACTATTCCCATGATCATTAAAAGTCGTGGTCTATAAACGCACGGCTGACATGATGAACCAACTGAAAGACACTGACTGTGGCACGGAAATTATGAAGCCACTGAGACAGAGATGCACAGACGCCCAGACCCAGGGCTCAAACCCACGGTCTCAGTGACCTGTGACACGGCCATTATGAACCCACCAGAATCGTAGTATGTGGCCCATAGTTACATGCATCGTCACCCTTGGCCTGTCTGATGATGCTGGACAGAAGTTGCCTCTGCCTAACGGGTTCTTTATGTCTGTGCTCAACGAGTCACGCCCAATCTGCGCATGCACACACTCAGAGTGCATTTGTCTCCCTCTCTGTGTGGGCATAGGATATCTAATGGCCCGTGACAAAAATTCCGACATTTTCTTTTAATAATTGACAGCTTAAACTACCTTCCTGTGTAGTTTAAGCAGTTACCAATACATCCAAAAGTACAGCCTACACAGCACCTATGAAGGCCGGCACAACACACAAGAGTTTGGTGGGTGGCAAACACTGTGCCCGGCCGCCTTTGTCTCTCCAGTATCGATGTTTACACCCTGTACCAGGTACTCATTTGAGGCCGAGTCGACATAGCGGTGGCCCACTATCGATTCAGATCATCGTCACTGATGTTGGCCGTGAGCGGGAATCGATTTCGGGTCACTGGGTTCGTAGCGTAGCACAGCGTTCACCGCCACACCACCGCTCCCCAGAGAGCCTCCTCACACACATTCTGCAGAATAGGGGGAGAACAAAAAGGGCCGAGAGAAACGCCACCCGCGTCGGTAGTCAAACTTAGGGGCTTCTTGTTGTGAGACGCGCGTGGCCGCACCGCTCTGGAAACCGTGCCGCCCCAACTGGATGGTGTGACTTAGGTCTTGGGCGACACATTCACGAATTAACGAGACGCGAATTATCCTCTGATTGGCTAGACTCTAGAGGAAGTCCTCTGCGTCAGAAAACTGTGATTGAACCCTGGGTGGCTCTTCGGCAACAACAGAGAAGCAGGAAGCTTTCAAATTCGCAACCGTTAAAGCCTCATTTTGAGGAAGTGCCGACACGAAACTGGTTTGAGTTCCGTGTTGCCACTGCGTGTTTTTCACGTCGTTGTTTATTCGGCACCTCGATGTGGAGACTGCTCTCTTAAATTTCGATTTAAAGCTTTCGTGACTGCAAGGATTCATCTTCTTTGGTTCTTTCGGTAAAGTCACGTAGAATGAGAATAAAATAATAAATTGATAAGCGCTGTCCTACCAGACAGTCTCGTCCCTTCACCTGATGAAGGCCGCTTGTGTTGTGGCCGAAACGTCGTGAGAATATTATTGTGTTATTTTATTTTGTCAATTTATTATTTTATTCTCATTCTACGTGACTTTACCGAAAGAACCAAAGAAGACTGCTCTCTTAGTTGCGCACAATTCTGCCTTTGGGTTAACCTTGACCCGGTCTCCACGTGACGGTGGGGGGGGGGGCTCGCGTGGGTGAGAAATCGACACCGGGACGTGCTGGGCTGCTGCTTCTGCTGCTGCTGGCGGCGGCGCGTCGGCAGCTGAGGAGCCTTCAGGTGAGGGATGGTTTGACATCACCGACGTTTAGCAAAAATAAATAACCACTAACACGCTTTTCTATTGCGTCCCCCCCCCATCGGTAAGAGATCAATAAGAAGATCCATTCAATCACTCTTTTGTTTGTGTTCAAAAGACCGACTTGGTCAGATCAATTGTGAGTGGCTCAGGCCCCCTGCAGCATAGTGCTGCTCAGCATGTTTCTGTCCTACGGCGCACCTCCTGCTGTTGTACTCGCTCGGCCTTCACAGCCACACTGAGCCACAACATCACTGTGGGCTTTGGCTAGGGTCAGGGTTAAGTTAGGTTTAGGTTAGGGTCAGGGTTACGGTCAGGATTGGGTCGCTGGAAATGCGTTGTGGCTGAGCGATAATTCATAATCCCTTGATTGTACGACGCTGACGAGAACAAATAAATCAAGTGGCAATGCCACAATCCGTGACAAAACTGTGCAGAACTGCATGAGTGCGTTTGTGTCTGTGTGTGTGACTCCATGCGTGTCTCTGTGTCTTCATGTCTTGGTGTCTCTCTGTGTCTATGTGAGTGGATTTGTGTCTGTGTCTGTATGTCGCTTGTCTGTCCCCGTGTATATGTGATAATTGTATCCGCGTGTGTCTGCGTTTTTGTCTTGTCTCTGTCTCCGTGTCTGCATTCGTATTTGTGTCTGTTTGTGTATCGTAAGGAGCGATAGTGTAGCGGTTAGCGCGCTGCGCTACGAACCGCTCACGGCCAACACCAGTGACAATTATCTGAACCGGTCATGGGCCTCCCCTAGGTCGACGCAGCCTCAAATGAGAACCTGGTGCGGTGTGTAAACATCGCCCGGCCGACAAAAACGGCCGGGCGTAATGTTGGCCACCCACCCCCCTCGTGTGCCGTGCTGGCCTTCATAGGTGCTCGCTAACATCACTTGCCCCAACAGTCTGTTCAGGCTATAGGGGGGATCTTGGTCATTGTATTTGCCTTTGCGTCTCCATGTATATTTTCTCTGTGTGTCTGTGTAGGTGTATTTGTGTCTGTGTCACTGTGTGTCTGTATCTGTGTGAATGTATTCGTGTGTGTCACTGTGTGTCTCCGTACCTTTCTCTGTCTGTCTCCCTATCTGTGTGAATGTATTTGTGTGTGTGGGTGTCTCCGTGTCTGTGTGTCTCTCTGTCTGTATCTGTGTCAGTGTATTTGTATTTGTGTGTGTGTGTTACTGTGTGCATTTCCGTGTCTGTGGGGGCTGACGGGTGTCTGTTACCGCACCTCGTCGCAACCAATGTAGAGGGGAGTGTAGGAGGTGGGGGCTTTGTGATTTGAAGGTTTATTTTACTTGATGCTACTAGCAGCAGGTGCTTGATTTGAGTCTACTGGCATTCGGTATATGGGTTGATTCTACTTGCAGCAGCCATTTTATTTGAGTCTACTGACATGAGGTATATGTGTACTAGCAGAAGGTACATGAGTTGAGTCTTTTCACCTACCCTGGTACAGTAATAGCCCAACATACGTCTCCCTTATTTACGTCGTTTCGCAAATGCGTCATCACTCGATAAATACCACCACCTGGTTTGCGTCGCCTCAACCCACACTCATGTGTCGCTGACAGCATCATTCGTTCTTTCTCTTATCTGTCGCCTCTCAGCCTTCGCTTCCACTTACTCTGTACACCAGCTACTTTGCAACGCGCGTAAAGCAAACTGTACCGTAGAGTACAATTTATATATTATTTACCTACGGTATTTTGGTGATTTTGAAAAAAAATCATCGATTGAAGTCGTTTCTATATTCGTTGTCACACCTTTTAGGAACGCATCTCCGACGTAAAACGCGGTTTTACTGTGCCTTACTCCGTACCAGTGTGGGTGTGAACGTTATCGATCAGAGGTCACTTGCTTCTTGAGGCGGAGGGGGGTTGGTTGGTGGGGGGCATTCTTTACGATGGGGGATTGTGTTGCTCTGCGAGAGCTCCGGTGGCTAGGGGATGTTATCTCCCTCACCTGGTGTACAGGAGGTGCTGAGCTCTATCCCGACCCTGACGATACGATGCCTATTGTATATATGGAGTCTGCATCTCCCTCTCTCTCTTCCCGTGGTCACGTGGATCTTTCGCCAGGTCCTCCGGGTTTTTCCTTCACATTTAGAATCAACGTCACGCGTTTACAGTATTTGGTTGCTATACATTTCCACGTGATGACAAGCCACTTCGCTGAGCTATCATTTGTGTCCGGGTCGCTTCTGCAAAAGAGCTACATCGCTCAGTGGGCCTTACCTGGTAAGATGAAACTAGTTTGGTTAGTTTAGTTTTAGATACTTCATCACATGCCATGACACCGATACTCCACTAGGAGTGAAATTGGGGAACATTAAATTCCCATTCTTGTCTTCTCTTCTCAGGCTTCGCATTGTCATGAGTTCAATGGGCCCAGCCACGCAACTCATCACAGAGAACCGCGTGGATCTCCAGGACATTCTCACCACGAGGGTGAACAATGTTCTTGACCATTCACATCAACAACAAGTCCTGAACCACAGTGACTGTCTCACCATTCGCAGTACACCATGTCCAGTCACACAGGTGCGGCATCTGATTGACTTGATTATTGGGCTGGGGGAGGTGACCTGCACCAAGTTCCTGCTGAAGGTGTTGGTGCCGCTGAGATCTGACTTGCCGCGTCTGAATGAGTGGATGAGTGTAAAGGCAGCAGAGTTGGCCCGGTTGGATGCCACAGTGAATCGAGTTGGAGCCTTGGACCCCATCGGAGTTTCACCCGGTAAGTGTGGGAAGGTTATAGTTAAGAATTGGCATCACACCTACACGATCGAACTCAAAATAATGTCAGTATGCATGATATTGGTTGTTAAAGCCTACGTACACAATATCTGTGCAATGTTTGAGTGGTCCGTGTGCGTGTGCATGTGTGAAAGAGTGTGACGATCCGAGTTCGAATCCTGCTCACGAGCAATAACATTGACGAATATCTGTCCTGGGCCTCCCCTAGGTCGACTCGGTCTTAAACGAGTATGTTGTGCTGTGTGTAAACATTGGCACTGAGGAGACAAAGGCAACCGGGCATGGTGCTGGCCACACCACGCCTTTATGTGCAGTATTGACCTCAACAGATGCTTGCAAACAGCGCTTGCTCCAACAGTCTGTGAAAGGATCTTTGTCTTTTTGATAGTGAGTGAGTGTTTCTATGTATGTGTCTCCTCTGGGTTTTCCAGTTTACTCCCACAGCTAAAACACCAAAAAAAACTTCCAATATTATTGGTTTTGAACAATAAAACACCGAATGCTGAAAATTTACACTGGAAATCATGAAATTGGGATAACATAAAGACACATCAACAGGAGCCTTCTACCCTGGCTCGCTAGGAGAGGGCAGTACAGCAAAATTGTGGACTCCACTTGTTCCATCTGTAAGGGATAGAGTGTTTCACCTTGTGCACCTGGGGTTTCCCCAGGTGCTCCGGTTTCCTCCCACATGGTATAAACACTCCTTAATTGGTCAACAGCATCTTAATATGTCGAGGATCGCCGACCTTGGATAATCTTTGTTGCTGGCTCATCATTTGGCTGTTGCCTTCCTGCTTGTCTGTGATTATTCACCCCTCCAATTAATTAACTCTCTATGACAGTATGTGAATACCGTGCGGCACGTTATTGTTTAAATATATACATTGCAGAAATCAAATACACAACTGCAATTTCTCAAACCGTCATTTTTGTTCCTCTTAGGGAAGCAACCAGCGCATGGATCCAGTGCTGGGAATGGACCTCGTCCATTGACTCACAGCATCTCCACCGAGGAGCTCTTTCAGAAAATCCGCAGAGAGATGCCAACGTTAGTGGAGGCATTGCAAGGAAACCTGATGCCTCTACTGAATGAGTTTTTAGCATCAAATATTTTAACGATCGCAGAGATTGGGGTGAGTGTTTTCCACATGTTTCTAATCTAATTGAACTCAGGGCGCTCGACATAATGGAATGATGTAGTTGGCAGGGGCGTGCTCTGAGGATTGAGGAAGGAGTGACAGTTATAGAGGGTTCTTAGGGATGATGAACGGGTAGGGGAGGAACTGTAAGGAGTGGAGGGGCAAGGGCAGGAAAGGGGAAGATAATAGGCAAAAGAGAAGAGGTGATGATATAAGAGATGAATGGAAAGATGTTTAGGAAGGAGGCTGATTAATGTACAGAGGCAGCGTTGAGTCTAGGGGTAGTGTTGAGTCTATGGACAGTGCAGAGTCTATGGACAGTGTGAGTCAGATTGAAAATAACTCGTGCAAAAACCATTTTGGATTTATTGTACGGGAGTGAGGGCAGAGGCAGGGAGACCAAGAAGAATAAGAAGAGAATTCCGGTATTCCAGACAAATAAAGATCAGGAGTTTGGCGACAAAATTTGAAATAATATTGTGACGTGCCATATGCTTGACAGTGTACATTAAAGCTCACATGATGTAGCTTGAAATGAGTAGGCCATTGTGTTCCGGTGTCATGGTCCACATTTCCCAAATTTTTAATATGACTCCGCAAATGATCCATTTGGGATTCCACACAGCAGCAACGTTGGACCATAGCTGTTGCAGACTGAAACATAGCGCCTTCGTAATAGCCTCGCATGATACAAACAGCACGTATACCAGATACGCTCATGAATTCAATGATATTATGATGACACAAGACGCCAAACTGTCTGTACACAGGTGACACACGGCGCCACGTTTCATTTGCAAGATTTACCTTGCATCACCAAAATGACAAACAAACCCATAGGGACACCTATAAATGATGATCGGCCAAAGAATACACATTGGGACCCATATCGAGGCAGAGATGCAAGGAGATGCATACTTACACATTGAGATACATAGATATACAGACAGATCCAAGGAGACACATAGAGACCCAAAGAAATACTTAGAGGTAGAGAGATACACACTGACACCTAGAGATATACAGAGATACATAGACATATAGATGGATGCAAAGAGACACGTTGTTGCTCGTCCATCATAATCGATGAGAACCATTACATCAGATCAGGGTTAGTGGTTTGTTGCGGTGAATCCGGAGATGGATGATGAGTCCAGTCTGGGTGCAAAAGGACCAGCTGCACGCCAGACACACGTGATCTGAGGACATGGGGGGGAGGAGTCGACAATTCTTGATTGGCGGAATTCTCTTCTCAGACTCGATGGCTCTCCTCTGCTCACACGTGGCAGCTCCTTTATGTGTGAGACTGCGTCGGCTGGAGCGGCAGTCTTGTGCAAGGCTCTTCCATGTCATCGAGGTCTATTTCGAAACAATTGAGGGAGGCTTTGAGGGTGTCCTTGAAGTGTTTAATTTGGCAACTATGGTGGAAATTTTCATCCCTCAGATCACCGTCGAGAAGCTTCTCGGGAGGTGATTATCATGCATCCTGGCTAAATGTCCATCCTAGCTGAGCTGTGTCTTCCTCAGCAGTGTGAAGGCTTGGCAAGTTTGCCAGGGAAAGCACCTCTGTGTCTGAAACTCTGTCCTGCCATCTGATCTTGAGTAGCCTCCACAAGCAAAATCATGTAAAGATGATTCAGCCTCTTGGCATGGTGGTTTGTAGATTGTCCAAGTCTCAAACGCACACAGTATGGTGGGTAGGACGACCGCCCCATAGACTTTGAGCTTGGTTCTAAGACTAATCCCTCTTCACTCACACACTGTTGGCCACAGTCTGCCAAAGGCTACAGTGGCCTTGGTAATTCTGGCATTGTCCCCGTCATAAATATAAACGGGTCTCGAGAGGGTGCTGCCCAAGTAAGTAAACCAATCAACAGGAATGAGCTTCTGTCCCTTGACAGTTATGGTTGACTCTGCGTACTGCTTCCTTGGGGCAAGCTGGTACGTTACCTCAGTCTGTATGATGTTGATGGAGAGGCCAAAGTTATTGCATGTGGTGGAGAAACGATCCGTAATGTGCCGCATTTCTAATTCAGAACCTTTGGTTGTGGCGTAAAGTCTTAAGAGTCTCCTCGAGTTAAAGAATGTGCCAATCAGTACAGATCCTCATGCTAATCCCAGCGTTATTTTCATAGAACTCGTCATAAATCATGGCGAAGAACATCATGCTGTTTAGGGTCGGCACCAGCACAAAGCCTTGCTTGACCTCCACTGTCGACAGGGAAGGGGTCTAAAGATTCCCCATAATTTAACAACTCGGGCAAACACACCGTCATAGCATTGTCGTACTATGTTGATTAATTTAAAATTGACAGCTAAATGTGGTTATACATTTTCCACAGGCCGTCGTAATACATTCTGTGAAACGGCCTTGGTCAAGCCCACACAACTTGAGTATAGATCCCGGTTATTACCTGCCATTTTTCCTGGAGTTGATGAATAGTGAATATGGTATTGACATTTCCCTGGCCTGCTCTGAGCAACAATGGCTCTCTGGTAGGAGCCCCTGGTCATGATGCACTAGCAGGCGATTGAGCAGGACTCAGGGAAGGCTTATCTTCCTTGGCTGGTAGGCAGGAGGTCGGAGGTTCGATCCTGTGGTCACGTGGATTTTTTTCTCCGGATCCTCCGGTTTCCCCTTTACAGTTTGAATCAAAATGCATTAATATTATTTCGATTATTTTTCTGCTATAAATGACCAAATGATTGGCCACTTTGTTGAGCTATCATTATCGGCCAGGTCGTTTCTGAAAAACAAGTTAATACCTCAGTGGGATTTGCCTGGTATGATGGGGATTGTTTAGTTTTATTTGTATGTGTTTGGGTGATTTGTTTAACTTTTTTGTACTTTGCACTACTATCATGTTTTTGTATTGTTTATCGTTGTCACCGTATTACCCACCCGTACTGGACATATGCGAAAAAGTGCTTTATAGCTCATCAGATTCCTCCCGTATAAATAAATATTCTGATTGACGATTGACTTTCGTTTTGTGAAAGTGGACAATTGAAGCATCCTTACGTTCCTGGCAATAATTCCCTGGCTTGTTTGATAACGTTATTGTCAGCTTCTCATCCAAGCCCAGCCCACCTACTTCATACATTTATGTGGAATTGCATAATGACCATTGTGCATTCTCACTTTCCTAAAGGCTGATGACCTTCATGGTTTTCAGCTAAGGTGCAGCGATCAGCAAGTGTCATGTTGACATGAGCCTGGGGCATGCAAGCGAATTCTTCTTTGTTGATTAAGGAAAGGCGATTTTAGATGTGTGTTCTATGGAGACCATGTTTATCATACAGCATGGCGTGTATCTGCTCGTTATTTTCATTAAAGTAATGCTGATGCTTGCGAGTGGTTGATCCAAGATATTCGAGGGCAGTGGAGTAGTTAACATCCCTAAACGCTGTCCAGTTCTCATTGTGGTCAAAGTTGATGGCATCTATCTGGCTATCTCACTTTTAACAGAGGTTCTGCTTAACCGGCTGCCTTGTAAGCTTGGAGATGTTAAGCCCCTTCTGACTCTTTTTTTACCTGAGGCTAATTTTGCTAAAGACCGTCAGGCATGGTGTGGGCATGTTGCGGTCTTATGCTCCACAGGGAGCAAAGAGGAGTGAGTAAGTTAGACCCGATACATATTATGTCGCGGATTCATTATGTCCTATTACAGCGCACGTCTGTGTGATTCCATGCATGCAGGAAATGACAGCCAAGTCGTCCAGTCAAGGAGGCTATGTAGCCGCCAGCCACCTGATCTTACGGCTCCTGCAGAAGGACCACAGGATCTCCGTGCCAGTATGGGAGGCGCTCTGGAAAACCCGCAGCACCTATCAGAGGCTGCACAACCTCCTGCAAGACGTCTTCCCTGACAGAGCCTAACTACCAAGGGCCTGGCTGAACACACCTCTCACTAGCAGTGTAGACCAGGGCTGGGGAACCTTTTTTTTCTTACTGAGGGATCAACAGGACTTTCAAATACCTTTGGTGGGCAACCACAGCTTGACATACGGCCCAGCGGTATACCGCTGGAAAAAAGAATTCTGTACATTTACAGTAACTTTTCTGGCAAAAAGTTGCCAGTAACATTTTCTGTAATTTTACCGATTTTTTTTTAGAATTGTGTTATCTTACTGTAAATTTCTATATTTTTAAAGACACTCCATATTAAAAAATGTCCATTATAAACAACAAATAAAACCCAAATTAGATTTAGTTTAAATGGAAATATGTTTCACCCTATACACGGGCAGTTTGTCTGCTGCTCCTCACCATTACCTCTTCCTGGCAAGAAACTAAACAAAGAAAAAACTGCTTTTGTGGTGTGAAAGACTTTATTGTCTTTTCTTTTTAATATGTAAATCTACATACATTGGCTTATGAAAAGTCAGTACATGCATTCGAACATGTTTTAAAATATGGAATTGTGAAAGTATTATACCCTATTTTATAAAACGATCCTAAAATTTTTAAAAGCTTCTGCATTAGCCTTTAACAGATAAACTTTGGCAGCGCCACCAGCGCCACCAAGGAAGGGTGCCAGCTGCCAGCGGACAAGCGTTGTGCCGACTCGGCTCATCCAGCAGGGGAAAGAGCCTGACCAGCCGCCCGTGAGCAAGAGTGTCAGCGCCAGCGAGCGCGCCGTGGGTTCAACCCACACGCACACCGACCAGCACCAGCTGGGAACCAAGACAAGAGTGAGGAACTGCAGTCAGCGGACGAGCTGCGGGCGCTATCTGACGACGAGATCATCGGGCACCGACGGCGAGCATCGTGCCCGACTCTTCCACCCAGCTGTGGACAGAACTGTGGCCGCCCATGTGAAAGAGGGAGTGTCAAGCTCTCCGTATGATACACACACCCTCACACCCTCACTGCTCCGCAGGGCACAAACACATTTTTCCATGAAGGGATGCCCAACCCCGGCGTCTGCATAACGCAAACAATTAACGCAAGAAGACCAACAACACTCACACATTAACACATACAAGAAGACTCATGATAACTGCGATAAATATCAACTGATCGTGAAGAACATTGCTGCCCATTGAGCTATGTGGATACGTCATTTAGAAGTATTTTAGTCGTTCGTTTTTTTTCTTTTTAATTGCGTAATCTTACCAATGAATTAATTGATAACTACTCTTGCCTTCGGGACATGTTTCTTTATTGCCCTTCGTATGAATATCGTTGCATGAATTTGAAGGACTTTTCCTCTCGCCGTGTATGCTCACGTACTCTGAGGAATAATCGATTGTACTGTTACCCAGTTAACAAACGTGACCATTGAGGGTTAAACGTATAGATCTATGAGGGGAACATCTCCAGGAGTACTGTGTTGACAATTCCAAGCATAGGAGTTCGCATATTAGAGTGTTAAGGTTGTGTTTAGAAATAAAAATTGCTTACCACAAGAAGTGTCTGCATGGTGTCTTCCTAAGTTCATGCGTAATAATCTTAATAATAAGAACTGTATCCTGCGGTGAGATTTGAATTTGGAGACCTGATATAAACACACTAAGACATAATCAGTAAATGTTAAAGCGAGAATAATTGTAATATACCGATTGATTATACAACTCTAGACAACGAAGCCGAGCTTAATCTAGCATACTTACATCACACCTGCATAACTTCATACAATTAATTGTCTTATCCCGATTGATAATACTACCCTCGACAACGAGGTTGAGCCTAATTATCATAACTCCCCTCATTGGCATAATCGCATACATGCGCATAAATTGAAACGACTATCTCTCAAATTAGCATAATTTATGTGCATAATTACACCAATTAACATAATTTCGGATGATTACGCATTTTTAAAAATATCATTTAAATGTGATTATTTTCATCAAATTTTCAATACCCGGCATATACAACACTGTTACCCCTTCAAGTATTGTATACGTTGCCCTGTGCCAAGTGTTGAGTTACAATTAACAGTGTTGCCTCCACTTCGCCGTCTCTGTCGAGTAAGAACCCACTACAACTGTATATATTAATGCATTAATGGTAGCCATAATGTATATTCAGTAATGCAAACACCATGGGCAGTCAAAGCAATAAATATTGCACGCTGCACAGTGTTTATCAAATATACTTTAATAGTTATAATTACAACTTGTAACGTGCCGCCGCGCGAGGAGAATCTAAAGATGAGTGGGAAAGCAGCCAGCAAGGCACTAAATCCCCCCTCTCCAGCTCTGCGGTCCTCTATATATGAAGATGTTATCGGCCAATTCACGAGTGCTTATATATTAGAGAAGATCAGATAATATAGAGAAAACTGATGCGTGCGAGGTGGCAATGCTGAAGTCAAGTTGTCTTTTTTTTTGCTACCCAAAGTGCCATCACAGTAATAACCATATATGTAAAAACAGACAATTATATCCTACAGTGAGAGAGAAAATGGGACAAATGATATGAATCCATTTACTCTACTGCATTCACCTGGCAAGCCAGGGTTATGGATGCTCCTCGACACCCATAGGAAGGGAGTTTTACATCATCTGTGTGTGATCCAACAACCCTCACTGCTGTCTCAGCGCTGGACTACAGGCAGCTACGTGCCTAACCATCACTGCCCAGCTGAAAAAACTAAAATCTACTCTTGAATGGTTATGTTAATTGGTAAAGCAACAGTTAACCCCGTCAATGTCATGTTTATGTCAAACATGGAGTCAAATTTTATTTGATGTTATCGGCAAAATTGGCGGCTCTAGCCCCTGTCTTTGTCTCTGTGTGTCTTTGCCACCAGTGTAATGGCTATTTTCGCGTCTAAGTGACGGTAGCGCCCTCACCTTGTAATTGTGTCGTTCTTGGGCCCTCTGCCGTGTGCTGAGCTCCATGTACAAATTCTCTTATCGAGTCTCTGAGGGCCCACAGCTAACGAACAGCTCTCTAGTGTAAGTGGTAATGACAATGAACGTGATTTGAAGCTTTCGTGACTGCAAGGATTCATCTTCTTTGGTTCTTTCGGTAAAGTCACGTAGAATGAGAATAAAATAATAAAATAACACAATAAAATTCTCACGACAGAGCTTCTGTCGTCCCGACAGAGCTTCTGTCGCCCAACAGTTCAGTACCTTTCACCTGAAGACGGCCGCTTGTGTTGTGGCCAAAACGTCGTTAGAATTTTATTGTGTTATTTTATTATTTTATTCTCATTCTACGTGACTTTACCGAAAGAACCAAAGAAGACAATGAACATGGCCACAGGATCCTGGCGATTACCACTTTTAACGCCCCAGCTGCAAAAAAAACGGTAACCGAATCCTGTTTGGGGGCTTCATTTCAGAATAAAGTAAAATTTTAGTTACATTTTTGGTTTCAGCAAAATAAATAAGCGATAAATTTTGAATTTCCGTTGTGGTTTGGGTTCGTTTCAACTCTCTGGGTTTTATTGTTATAAAGCAGTTTAAATCACCAGGTATTGGCATTCTTTTCTATTCTAGGAAAGTCCCATATCTATAGCCAGGGAGGCTGCGGGGGCCACCGTCCCCCGTTTCCACCGAATTGTCGGGGCCGCTGTCCCCCGACTCCTCCGTTACGATCGCGCTACTACCCCCCGACTGCTCTATCGGGTTCGGGCTACCGACCCCCAATTCCTCGCCCCCCTGTACCCCCGACTTTGTTGCTGCCCGCGTAGGCATGATTCAATTGGTGGGGCCGACTGCTTTACGCTTATGACGCACTACGCGGGCTCAGTGGCAGACGCGCTGCTGTGAGCACGCCCGTGAAGTGAAACCCCATCTCGTGCGTAAACAAAAGGGTACAGCATGCCGACGTGTGACTCCACGGCCGGCGCTTAGCCTCCCAGGATCCGTTCACACACACGCCCTACGTGCCCAGGCACTAACAAACCCGACTCCGCTACCTGCCCGGCTCCATACACCAATCACACGCGAGGGACTTGGGATCAGGGGTTAGAGGGCCGGGGTGTCCACCGTGCGCACGCCGCTGATTGGAGGGAGTCACACCACCCCGATTTAAAGGCCGTTTAAACAGCCGCGCATGTACGCGAACACCAGGCGCTTCACCCTCCTCTTCACACTCACAAAGACCACACGACACAGTTTATCCTCTACTGGCGATTTTATTCCCCCCGCGAATAACCCGCTAACTACGTGTGTTTGTGTGGGTCAGCAGACACTAGCCTATCCCTTGGGGATCCGGGACTCAATTTTTCCTGCCCTATCGCTCCACTTTCTACCCTCTGGTTAAATAGCCCAAACTCACCTCTCCCTTGCTTATGCGTACTCCCAATCTGATGCACCGGGAGCTGTGGGAGGGCGATGCTGTACGTCGTCCCCGTGGAGAATTGGGCCCGGCTGCGTTGAACCTCGTCACACGGACGACTCGAACGGCTGGCTCCAACACCCCACTTACCTCGATGCCTTGAAGGACTCTGCCCTTACTGCCTGAATTCCCCTCCTTTTATCCTACCTACAACAAAGGAGTTCTGCTGTTTCGCCCCCTTGGCCTCCCGTCCAATCAGGGGCCCGGATTTTCCTGCTCTTTTGATAGTCGGATCCCAGCTCTGGTGACGTCACCGCAGTGGTTCCCTCGACGTCTGCTTTCTGCTCCTCCCGCTACCGGGATTTTCCCACTCTTTTGATATTCGGATCCTAGCTCTGGTGACATCACCGCAGTGGTCCCCTCGACATCCGCTTTCTGTACTTCCCGCTATCAGCCCACTGACTAGTGTTGTGTGTCCACGCTTCCATCCGCGGTGGCTCAACAGTCCCTGCCGTGACCATGCCATTACAATTCAAGGTCACGGCGCCACGGTGCCCGTCAGCCTCGGGGGTAGGTCGCCCAATTCCCCGGCCGTGGGAAACCATGAAGCTTGATCCCAGTAGGGGCTTCTGGACGAAAACCCGTTGGCCAGATGACCTTCCCCCCCGGCTCTACGTGGGGTATGCGTGCATTCATGTGGGGAGCGGCGAGGGGCGCGCAGCGTCGGCGTCGTCACCCCCCGGTGGCGGCGTCACGGCGGTGGGCATGGCCCCGACAGTGGCTCCGCTGTGGCGGCACCACAAGGCCTGTCGTCCGAATCATTCGACCTCTAAAAGCAAACATGTGAATTCCACGGCTGTGAAGCTATGGGTGCCTACACGTGTATATTATGCTCTACCAGCTAACAAAGCAGGCTCTTGCACATAACATATAGCATTCACTTGCATAAGAGAATGATAAGCTGTTACTTGCTCCACACGTCGCCAACAGAGCCATCGCGATAATGGCCCTCGGCAGCTCTGGGTGAGCCATGTGCCCCACAGTCCTTGGGCACAC